ATGCTTTTTTTAATATTGTATGTAATTACAAATCTAGTGTCTGTCAGAAAATTCTAACTTTAATTCATTAAATCTTGAATACTTATATCATAAAATTTCAGTGAAAGATATTAGCTACCATTCTAATACTTCAAATTGAAGACAGAAACTATAGCTTGCAGGGATTCTAATTGTTACATTAAATGATTTGGAGGTAGAGGTTAAGGTCTGTGAATTGTGATTCTTCTTACTCCTGTTTAAGATTATTTCCAGCATTTGCTTGGAATGGGGCCTTTATTAGTAAAGACATAGTAAGTCCTACTTTGACTTTTTTCCCATTCCTTTTTTTTAAAAATTTTTTTACATTTAGGCCATGATGTGTGGCATGTGGTATCTTGATTTCCTGACCAAGAACCAAAGGTCGAATTGTGGGTTCTTAGCTTACCATACTGCCAGGGAAATCCCTAGTAAATTCTACTTTAAGAGAGGTAGGTTTATTTGAAAAACTCACTCCCCTGTGGGTCCTGTCTATTTGGGTTGTTTCATCCTCCTGAAAAACCCTTAAATTGATTCACATAGATTTGTGTTAATAGAAGAGAGTTACTAAACACCAAGTAAATGAGTATATAATTCCATCTATGAAAATATTATTGGACATTAATCATTAGTTCATAGATCTATCTCAGAAGAAAGACTCATGGTATATTTGTATATATCAATCAGTAATGGTTTATTTGTATATATCAATCAGTAATGGTATATTTTTAATTTTTAAACTTTTCTAAAATTTTATTATTAATGGTATGTTCCACAAAAATGATAGAAATGAAGAGCAAATGTATTCTAATATAATATAATGGATAAATGGCCTGAGAGAAAACTGCTCATGTGAACCAGGATATTTAATACAACCACAGTAGATAATTTTTAACAGGAATATACAGGTTGAGGTAATAGCCATTCCTTTGTATCCATGTAGACCAAGGTATAAGACAACCAAAATTGTCTTCATCGCTTCAGTTCAGTCGCTCAGTTGTGTCTGACTCTTTGTGACCCTATGGACTTCTGCATGCCAGGCTTCCCTGTCCATCACTAACTCCCAGAGCTTACTCAAATTCATGTCCATTGAGTCATTGATGCCATTCAACTATCTCATCCTCTGTTGTCCCCTTCTCCTCCTGTCTTCAATCTTTCCCAGCATCAGGGTCTTTTCCAATGAGTCAGTTCTTCCTATCAGGTGGCCAAAGTATTGGAGTTATCTTCATATATGTTTACAATTAAATTAATTCTACTAACTACTTGCTTTATCTTCATGAGTTATATCAGGGTTTCCCTGGTGGCTTACATGGTAAAGAATCTGCTGGCAATGCAGGAAGACATGAGTTAGATCCCTGGGTCAAGAAGATCACTTGAAGGGAATAGCTACCTTCTTCAGCATACTTGCCTGGGACATCCCATTGACAGAGGAGCCTGGCGAGCTACAGTCTGTGGACCACAGAGTCAACAAGATTTAGTGACTAGCAACTACAGCAATAGCAAACATAGTCCAATGCTCCATAGGGCTCATTTCCCCAAGAACTGAATGGATAATTGGAATATACATACTTTGTAGTTTGCATAACTTCATTGTGCATTAATTTCTTGGGCTATAGGGCAAGAACTATTGCCTTGGAGAAACGAAATGGAAACCTCTGAAACCGCACTCATTCTTTTGTAAATATAAACAAGCTGCACCCCAATGAATGATTCAGTTCAGTTCAGTTACTGAGTTTCCTCCAACTCAGCGACCCCTGGATTGCAGCACGCCAGGCTTCCCTGTCCTTCACTATCTCCCAGAATTTGCTCAAACTCACGTCCACCGAGTCGACGATGCCATTGAACCATCTCATTCTCTATCCTCCCTTATCCTCCTTCTTCTCAAACACTGCACTTCAAAAGCACCAGTTCTTTGGTGCTCAACCTTCTTTATGGTCCAACTCTCATAACCATACATGACTGCTGGAAAAACCATAACTCTGACTAGATGGACCTTTGTTGGCAAAATAATGTCTCTGCTTTTAATATGTTGTTTAGGTCACTCATAGCTTTTCCTACCAAGAGCAAGCATCTTTTAATTTCATGGATGCAGTCACCATCTGCAGTTATTTTGGAGCCCCCCAAAATAAAGTCTGTCACTGTTTCCATTGTTTCCCCATCTACCTGCCGTGAAGTGATGGGACCCAATGCCATGACTTTGTTTTTTGAATGTTTTGTTTTATGCCAGCTTTTTCACTATGCTCTTTCACACTCATCAAGAGCCTCTTTAGTTTCTCTTCACTTTTTGCCATAACTGTGGTGTTATCTGCATATCTGAGGTTATTGACATTTCTCCCAGCAATCTTGATTCCAGCTCATCCTTCATCCAGCCCAGCATTTCCCATGCTGTACTCTGCCTTTAAGTTAAATAAGCAAGGTGACAATAAACAGCCTTAATGTACTCACACTTCTTTCCCAGTTTGAAACCAGTCCATTGTTCCAAGTCCAGTTCTAAGAGTTGCTACTTGACCTACATACAGGTTTCTCAGGTGGTCTAGTAATCCTATTTCATTAAGACTTTTCCACAGTGTTGTGATCCATACAGTCAAAGGCTTTAGTGTAGTAAATGAAGCAGAAGTAGATGTTTTTTCTGGAATTTTCTTGCTTTTTCTATGATCCAGTGGATGTTGGCAATTTGATCTCTGGTTCCTCTGCCTTTTCTAAATGAGTGATTAGTGCTACGCCTAAAGAGCCAGACTGGACTAAGCAACTAACACTGTCCTAATAAGTGAACTATGTAAAAAGTAGGGGCCATATTATAGCCTTTCCTTCTCTCCTCTACTGTTTGTCTAGAGCCGGCATTTAACAAATTCACCAATAAATAGAACATGAAAATTTGAATGTTAAGTGGTCATATGGAGCACTGTTGCCTAGTTGGTATGGTGATGATAGCATCTCACTTGTTCCTTTCTCAATCTGTGCGACTTATTTTTGACCAATCCCATAGTCTTCGATGCTGACATTATGTGTTCAGTTCAGTCACTCAGTCGTGTCCGACTCTTTGTGACCCCATGAACTGCAGCACGCCAGACCTCCCTGTCCATCACCAACTCCTGGAGTCTACCCAAACTCATGTCCATTGAGTCAGTGATGCCATCGCACCGTCTCATCCTCCATCGCTCTTTCTCCTCCTGCCCTCAATCTTTCCCAGCATCAGGGTCTTTTCCAATGACTCAGCTCTTTGTAATAGGTGGCCAGAGTATTGAGTTTCAGCTTCAGCATCAGTCCTTCCAATGAACACCCAGGACTGATCTCCATTAGGATGGACTGGTTGGATCTCCTTGCAGTCCAAGGGACTCTCAAGAGTCTTCTCCAACATACATATATACTTTATTTAAAGTAGAGATGAGTCATATTTGTCTTTCTCTGTTGAAAGCATAGAATTTTTCACTTGCTAATATCTTCATAATCTTTACATTGACATAAAAATCACAATTATTGAAAATATACACACAAGAATTTTAGAATTTGAGAATGTAGTTGCATTTATAAGAGGAAAGTAATCATACATTTGGAAATACAGTAGCATACTTGGAAAAGAATATTACATTAAATAAGTGTGGTTTCATTCTCTTTTGCTGAATGACTATTAGTGAATTAAAATATGCTGTCATATTCTTTTGAGATATTTTAATAAGGTGCACTTGGGAGTGGTAAAGCTTTTGAATAGATGATTTTGTTATTTCTTGAATAGTTGGTCACATATCTTAATAAGAAATGATTCATGTCAATGTATGGCAAAATCCACTACAATATTGTAAAGTAATTATCCTCCAACTAATAAAAATAATTGGGAAAAATAAATAAATAAAAATAAAAAGCAAAATAAAATAAAATAAAAATTGCTTCCTTAAAAAAAAAACCTACAAAATTTATTTAGACCTACCTTTACCAAAGATATTTTATCAAATATCTAAATATCTAAGAGCTTTCATAATAATATTTTGATATATGTATGTCTATGTATCCATCTATTTAGATACATTTATATCCAATAACTGGAAAGACTCTAGAAATTAACCAATGTAAAGAGACCCAATTTAAATATGAGTAAAGATTTCTTTTAAACTTTTAATGAATATGTATTTAATTTTTATAATATAATTCATCTCTGTCAAAGTATATATGTATATTTACACGCACAATCTTAATACACTGGATTTGAGGAGACATAGAAATTTAAAAATGTGAAAATAAAGAAAATATCTTTTCACTCTTAATCTCAACGTTCTAATGCACACTTTCCTCATCATCACATATGTCCATTTGGAATATATCTATTTCTATATTCACATATAAACATGATCTATATGTAAATATAAATATGTATATAGTTTATAGTTATGTTTAATAAGTAATGCCTAGAAAATATTTTGATTGTTGTATTTCCAGAATGATATACAATGTGTATTATGAATAACTAAGATGCATGGCTAATTACAAATATTTAACTTTTAATAAAGGTAAAATTGAACTACTGACATAATAGTTTCAAGACATCTGAAATTTCCCAGTAACATATTGAACTCTCTGTTCAATTACTCTCAAAATAATATGTAAAATTCATTTGAAATATTGCAGTATCCACTTTATAGAATTCAAATATTTTAAATTGTCTTAAGCCAATAGTATTATGAAAGATTTAATGAAGTAAGAACATCTCATTCAAGGATCAGTCCCTTGCAAACACACAGGATGCTATTTTCAATTAGCCATATTTATAATTTCAACTTTTCATTTGCCTCAAGTTTATTACCTTAAATTCAGCTAAATTACTATATTGATATATAAATTTATATATATTTGCTCTTATATATTTTTATATAAGCAAAAATACTATTGCATGTGAATTTCTGGAACATAATAGACAATTACCCTTGGTCAAATTTCATTCAGTGAGCTAATATACTGCTTTTCTGTACATGAGATAAGATCACTTATTTTTCTTACAGTATAAATGGAATCATTGCTGATTTCCTACGCATATAAGAATTGAATTTCTTCAGATAAATCTTATGTTTCTTTTGTGCCCACAGAGACATCTGGATACTCATCAGAAGTGTAAAAATCCCAACTAGAAGGAAAAAATAAATAATTATTGTTTTTTTTTATGGACATAACGTTATGTTTGAAAAAAATAACTTTTAAAATATTTCAAGGGTTGTATAATTCTCTATCAATTTTCCTTATTTATATTGCCTAGCATCATATACATACAATCAATATTGCATGGTTGAATAAACATAAATATATAGAAATTGAAATAATTCTACATTTTTTACACCCCACTGCCACATAATACTTCCAAAGAAGAAATTATTAAAATCCTTTTGATTTTTTCAATAATAGTTGTTCATATGTGTGTAAAACACTTCTTCTACACACATATATACATATAAGATAAATCACATAAATTCTAATCCACATTTTTGTACAGTGGAACAAAAAGATGAACAAAAAGCAGTTTATTACCATTTAACTTATTTGTGTTTTAAAATGACCAGCATTCAAGATGACACATTCATGTCCCAACTCTTCCCTTCACAGATGGATGTGAACACTTGAAGAAATAGTATGTACAAGTCTGTGGGTACACACGAGGGTTTAAAGTGAAGTGTGTTATTACCACTTCCTTTTAACAAAAACTTGTTGCTTAATAAATATATTTGGACTATATTTTCTAATTTGGATTAACCACAGTTGGGACTCCTTGGTGGTTCAGTCAGTAAAGAATCTGCCTACAGTGTGGGAGACCTGGGTTTGATCCCTGGGTTAGGACCATCCCCTGGAGGAGGAAATGGCAACCTGCTCCAGTTTTCTTGCCTGGAGAACCCCATGGCCAGAGGAGCCTGGTGGGCTGCAGTCCATGGGGCTGCAAGAGAGTCGCACACACGGAGCGACTAAGATCAAGCATGCAACCACAATTATACAAACATGCATAGTAAATAATGTTTCAATATAATGTTATACTGATAAAAAATCCAAAATAAAAATAAAGGCAAAAAAATCCCATTGCAAACATGCCTAATTTCAGGATTACAGCAGTTTGTTCTCAGAAACCACTTCTCCTAAAGGTGTATCTACTTCAATCATTAGTAAACCTAGGTCTTACCTGGCAATGTTTGTGTCATGATTGTGAAACTAATCCATGATCCAATCTGTTAGATTAAAACATAAATTAACAAATATTGAAGTCAATCTAGAAATTTGTTTACTTGTGAACAATTAAATAGGCATTGATTAGGTATTTTAAAAGCTTAAAACAGTGGGAAATTTTAAGTAGAAATATATTTCCCAAAGTTATAATTTCATTTTTAAATATGATAGTGATTAAAAAACTTTCTTAAAACAGTATCATATTACTAAGAAAATTAAAGACATTATTCCAGAATTTTGTATAAAATCCAGAGGCTTCTCAAGACATTTAATGTGATGTTTATAAAATTTTCTTTAACTATAGACAGATATATGCACAAATACTGTTTATTCTGCAGGGAAAATTGTGAGTGAAATATTCTAATTCCTATGCTTATAACTTAAATTGAAATCTGTATCATCATCTATATCTGTCTATGCCTGTATCTACAGACTAAACATACATACATATCATGCATAATCTATAATACATGTAAGTACGTAAACATATGTAGTTCATATATTATCAAATAAAGTTCAGTTATCTGCATGGATATATAACATACCTCATAGGTGTAGTTAGGACATGAAACCAGGAAAAACATCCACGTAAAGGGGTTATAATTTGGACTTGGAAAACAGGCATTATTTCCTTTCAAAAAGTAGAGTACAAAGTCAATGATGTTTCATACTGCAAATACAATCACATATTTATTATATAGTTCTAAATTCCCTACAATAACTATGTATCATATGAAAGCTCATCATATATTTATAGAAACCTGTTTTACAAATTATTCAAAGGAGACCCAGTTTCAAGTGTCATAAACTTTTGACTCAAAAAACTGCGTATCATTTTCTGACAATGTCTACAGCTATGTTGCAGTAAAATTATAGGATGTCACCACAATAATCAATTCCCTAAGTTTTAAAATTAAACAATATATAAACATTATTTTGTTTATCATAATAGTTTAGCAGTATTACCTACTGAGATTCATAGTATATTTTAATGCTGCTAATGTGTTAATACTGCTAATGTGTTTTAACAATTGCTTGCCTCTTATTTTCTTTTAGTGTTAAAGCATATATTTTTTGGTTGAGATTATTAAATACCTGAAAACTCTTTCTGTTAAATTAGTGATGATCCAGAGGGAATTTCATAAGTATGTCATTTATATTAGAAAAGTATGAAAATCTCTCATAAGAGGATTACAGTGAATATCAGAATAGTTCATATTCAGAAATACCACACAAATTATTTCTGCTCAGTAATCAGGATTGTTATTTACAACTCTCATTATACTTAGCATATTGTCCTTTATTTCAGTTACTTTTTGCCTTTCAAATTTTTCAAGAAATATTTTGTATAACAAATTCATAATGATTTTGAGTTGAACTTTGAGCTGTGACATTTGTAAAAGTAAATGTGAATTATAAAATTACTGTGTATTCATAGCAAAACTTAATTAGATAACAGATCAACTAATCTCTTTTATTTAAATCGTAAGGTCTTAATGAAATGTCAATATGCTGTTTTCAAAGCTGTAGGGATTGTTGAACTATCAAAGTGAAAAATATATGTGCAAATTTCATGCATTGCTTATTTCAAGATAAGGATAGATATACATGCCACTTAGTAGAACAGATTCTCTTGCTAACATTTATGTAAACACCTTTGTGTAACATTCATATATTTATCAAAAGAAAGATGATTGAGGAACCTATCCATGTTAACTGACTTTCAGAGGCAGAATGTGAACACAAGGTAATTTGGGTTAAAGCCAGTTTATGACCGTTCAGTTCCTGGAGGTAGTGGAATGATCAGGGTCCACAAATACTATTTCTTCCCGATGTGGTTTATAGATTAGATAAACAATGTGTCTTGTGACACAGAAAAATATGTGTATATAGATATTTTCTTCAGTGTGTTAGTTGCTATTAATATGTAAGTTTAGATGTTAGCAATCTAATACTTGCATTTCTATGATATGTTTCTCAGTGTATAGTTTATAACTAATCTTTTATTATATTAAAAGATTTTTTTTTTTTACATTAGAGTGCTGCAGCTACCCAGATTCTTCTCCAGGTATAAAGGGTTTATTCCACAGCTATGGGCTTTACTGCTGGCAGGAGACCTTTAACTTTCAGCATCACCTGTGAAGATAACCTGGCTGAAGGGAGCAAACTCATGCAAGGTCACACTCACGTTTTGGTTTACCCTTAATCCATTATTGGATCAATGTGGCAAATTGATGCCTTAATTCAAAACAACATTGCTTGTTCAGCCCAGCTTTAGAAGGCCCCTAGGTTCATCTGATACTCTCACTGAAACTGTATTACTCTCGACTTCCTATCCAGACATGATTTCTTTCTTTCCATCGATCAAATCACCCTAACACAACTCCTGAATGCAAATCTCTGTTTCAGAGTCTATATCACAGAAAACTGAACCCACGGTATTTGCCATAAGGAATGGCCCTAAAAGCAGATAGTGGGATGGCATTTAAGAGTTGAATGACCTGCCGACCAGCCTGCGCTGAGTGCCCCATTGTTGCTGGCAGGGGCCAAACAAAGAACTGCTGTTACAAGGTAGCCTTTCAAACATAAAGCCTTTTATCTGTGGTCTACTGGTATTTTATGCTGTTGAAAAGGATTGCTTTATTTGGTCCAGTAGAATTTAGTGGTGACGCTATCAATGTTCTTGGTAAAGATAGCTAAAACTGAAATGGATAATTAGCACTTAAAAGCCAACTGTGAAAACTGGAAGGCCTCCTTGGTAGTATATTGGGTTGGCCAAAAAGTTCATTTGGATTTTCTATAAGATGTTATGGAAAACAGAAATTAACTTTTTGGCCAACCCAATATGAAGACGCTCTAATCTGCAATGAGAGAAACGAAGAGTTAGTGAAGACCAGCCCGAGGACTTAATTGCAAGAGTAATCAAGCACCAAAGAACATACAACTCTAATCCAAACCAGATCTGTTAAGCTAGGTCATCATTCATAGAATATTAGGCTGTGCAGATTTTCATCAACTACCTGAGCTTTTAGAAGTATACTGCTCTTCCCTGTTCAAAATTAGCACACTCCCTTAGAGGAGCTAGTGATCCTATCTATAATGCATCTGACTACAAATCAGAAAAATTAACACTCTCCTTTCCTTAAAATTAATACAGAGGCTACTAAATTGTAATAAAATCCCTATCTTCTTCGTACCCTCTCTTAACTTGTATGCTATAGCTAGTGTGACAATACCAAATAACCTACCAGAGGTTATTGTGACCAAATAAGGGAAGAAAAAGGTTATTCCCCAAGGGAGCTACAGAATCCAACCAGCGTGAACTGGCACATAATAGGAGAATATAGCTGTAATTGGATTCTGTTGATGCTGGATAACAGAGAAAGTGAAGTCACTCAGTCCTGTCCAACTCTTTGAGACCCCATGGACTGTAGCCTACCAGGCTCCTCTGTCCATGGGGTTTTCCAGGCAAGAATACTGGAGTGGGTTGCCATTTTGTTCTCTAGGAGATCTTCTTGACCCAGGATTGAACCTGGGTCTACTGCAGTGTAGGAGGCAAGATATAAAAATGGATAAGGGGTTTCTGTTATTGGAACACTCTTATGGGATATAGGAGTTCAGCTCAGTCACTCAGTAGTGTCCAACTCTTTGCAACCCCATGGACTGCAGCACGCCAGGCTTCCCTGTCTATCACCAACTCCTGGAACCTACTCAAACTCATGTCCATTGAGTTGGTGATGCCATCCAACTATCTCATCCTCTGTCATCCCCTTCTCCTCCCACCATCAATGTTTCCCAGCATCAGGGTCTTTTCAAATGAGTCAATCCTTCATATCAGGTGGCCAAAGCATTGGAGTTTCAGCTTCCACATCAATCCTTCCAATGAATATTCAGGATTGATGTCCTTTAGGATGGACTGATTGTATCTCCTTGCTGTACAAGACACTCTCAAGGGTCTTCTCTAACACTACAGTTCAAAAGCATCAACTCTTCAGCACTCAGCTATCTTTATAGTCCAACTCTCACATCCATACATGACTGCTGGAAAAAACATAGCTTTGACTAGACAGACCTTTGTTGGGAAAGTAATGTCTCTGCTTTTTAATATGCTGTGTTGGTCATAGCTTTTCTTCCAAGGAGTTAATGTTCAGTTAAGCTAGTAAAAATGCATTAACATACACCTAAAGCCATGAACAAAGCTACAGTCCTCAGTAAACAAGGGGAAAAAAGTGTTGTGATCTCACTGGCAAACAGAAAAAGGTGTTAAATTGCTTAGAAAAGTGGCGGTCCTGGGGTAGATAGTCTAAATAAGGCCAAAAGGGAAGATTTGTTTCCATGGGAGGACAAAAAAATGTTCCCCATTTTTCATATTCCCATAGTATTCCCCATGCTTCATTGGAAAACCTAGAGGACACACCATTCTCCAAAGCTATAAGCAATGTGTTAGTGCAAGGGCATCACCACTACTAAGATCAAGGTCAGCTCTCTGACATCCCAGACTGAATATAAGTGATGTCATCTTAGAATGGAATAACTTGTAGTAACTGGGATTAAAGGATTCTTCCCCCTCTCCCAAATCAAATCCATTTCTATTTGTGGTGCTTGTTATAAGTCAAAATGAGTGAGAAGTTCAGAAGTTACTTGATCCACAGAAAGTGAGGCTGGATATAAGAACACAGTGTTCCAAAAGGTTAGAATTGATGGATACCCCAAAACGAATTTCTGAATTTAGACAAAATAAATTTGAGATGAATAATCTAGAGACATGGGAAAGCTAGTTCAATACAAAATTCCCTATTTCTTGCCTAGGTTTTAGAGTTAAACCAGTTGCGAGACACTAAACTCATTGATGAAAGAACAGTCTGGGACCCCAAGGAGAAAGATTGTAATATGGAAAAAACTGTATATATATAAGGATTCTCATAATCATTCATTAAAAGAACTTCACTAAATGATGTACTGGCATCTGTTCATGGAACTGTGTACTAGTGAGAATAGACTATCCCTACATTTTAAAGACTACTACAAGCTCAATATTCAGAAAACTAAGATCATGCATCCGTTCCCATCACTTCATGGCAAATAGACGGGGAAACAGTGGATGGCTTTATTTTTCTGGGTTCCAAAATCACTGCAGATGGTGACTGCAACCATGAAATTAAAAGATGCTTACTCCTTGGAAGGAAGATTGTGACCAACTTAGCATATTAAAAAGCAGAGACATTAAAAAAAAATAAAAATAAAGAGCAGAGACATTACTTTGTCAACAAAGATCTCTCCAGTCAAGGCTATGGTTTTTCCAGTGGTCATTTATGGATGTGAGAGTTGGACTACAAAGAAAGCTGAGCACAGAAGAATTGGCGCTTTTGAAGTGTGGTGTTGGAGAAGACTCTTGAGAGTCCCTTGGACTGCAAGGAAATCCAACCAGTCCATCCTAAAGGAAATCAGTCCTGGATGTTCATTGGAAGGACTGATGTTGAAGCTGAAACTCCAGTGCTTTGGCCACCTGATGCAAAAAGCTAACTCATTTGGAAAGATCCTGATGCTGGGAAAGATTGAAGGCAGGAGGAGAAGGGGACAACAGAGGATGAGATGGTTGGATGGCATCACCGACTTAAGGGACATCAGTTT